ATAATAATAATAATAATATAGGGATATGGTGGGGAGGACATATGTTGCCCAGTCCTGTTCATGAACCATTCACTGTTAGTTTCCATTCCTTGTTTCTGTGTTGTTCATTTGGCTCACAATGCTGCAGGATCTCTTGAAAATGACAGAGATTTTAAAGGACAAGCTGACCGCAGAAAGACAAAGCAAACTACTTCTTGAGGTGCAGATACGCAAAGAGATGGCTGAAGCAATGTTTCAGCAACTGATGGAAACAGAAAAAGCTTGGAGGTAAGCCTTAGGATCTCTTACTTGGAAAGAACAGTACCTTATCAATTAATCACAATTAATACATGCAGGTTGTCCAGAGCTTATGTGGAGACCAGTATGATTCTGGCCATTATGACTGCAATTTAATGAAGAAAATTTCCCTCTTTGTACAATGTAGCTTTTAAGTTATTTTTCTGGTTATGTTAGCTCCTCATTAAATATTAGAGGAGAAATCTCATGTAGTTTGAGTGCTGATTTGTGCTGTTGCCTCTCACAGCTGCCTCATTCTATAGTATGTATATGCTAAGAGCATAAGATGGCTGGGAAATAAGTATGTTATGTCACTTGGTGCAGGTGCATTTACTTTATTTCTGAACTTTCAGACTATATTGCTGTGCCTTTGTCCCAGGGCTTGAAAAGGTTAACAGGGAGTGGGGTAGGTCTAAAATCCAGACAGCATGGCCATGGTAATAGGGAGATTATTGGGACCTATATTTAAAAAAGAAAGAAGAACTCCGTATTCTGCTCAGTTCCACATTCAGTGGTTAAAACAGAATTTTTTGTGTGATTTTTTCCCCCTGAAAATACAAACAGTTCTTGATTAATTGTAATAGGTACAGGGAAAAAAATTGGTATCAGCTTCAAGTTCAGATTCTTCTTTGGACCTACAAGTACCTTCTAGGTATTTTTATGAAATGGCCATTCCTCTTCTCTTTACAGCATGCAGCACAGCCCTATGCATGTTTAATAAGAATAATCATTTGCTGTCAAGTCAGTTCTGAATTACGGTGACCCTTTTCAAAGTTTTCTAGAGAGCACTCAGAAGTAGTTTGCCATTCCCCTCTTTTGAGGGTGCCCTAGGACTGTGCAACTTGCTTCTGACTACACAGCCTCACTCTTCTCCCAGGAGGCACAGTGAGGAGTCAACCTCCTAACCTCTCACTTCTCAGCCAGATACCTAAACCACTGAGCTACTGGCTGGATAGATCCATTTCAATCTGGCTTCAGACCTGATTGTGGGATGGAGACTGCTTTTGTTTCCTTGTTGGATGATGACACAAGCTGGTTCTTCTCGCTGTAGGCACAGGGAATTGAACTTCCATCTTCTGGCTTTGCAGCCAGATATGTAAATCACTGAGTTATCCAGCTGGCTCTATGGGTTTACTCAGACATCAATATATTTTACCAGGAGCAATGTGGCTGTTTCCCAGGGTGAACTAGCTAAAAGTGACTAGTTGCTCCTTCACACCCTGATCTATCTCACATGGTTGTTTAGAGCATTGAAACTAGGAGGAGGGAAGTTGTGTATCCTCATTGGAAGAGGAGAGTAAGCTTACTGAGGAAAAGTGGATATAAAGAACAACTTTCAGAACACAGCCAAAGAGCCCGAAAAACCCACAACAACCATTAGATCCCG